TCAACAATATTTCACTTTCTACAATCTTGCCTCCGAACAAAGAGGTGATTGTTCCAGCGAATTGTTCTTGTTCAGGTCAGTACTATCAGGCCAATACCTCTTACATCATTCCAAGTATGCAAGACTCTTACTTTTCGATTGCCAATGATACTTATCAGGGGTTGTCCACCTGCAATTCTCTTAAGCAGGAGAATAATGCTTCTAGCTTGCATGCTGGTTTAGTTTTACAAATACCACTTAGATGTGCTTGTCCCACAACCAATCAAACTTTAAATGGTACTAAATTTCTATTATCTTATGTGGTTCACTGGGGGGACACCATATATGATATTAGTAAGAGATTCAATGCTAGTTGAGAAGTGTAGCTGATGCAAATGGAATTGATTTAGATGATCCAATTAATTTTCCCTTTACAACAATTCTTGTTCCACTGTCAACCAAACCCTCAAGCTCTCAAACTATAATTCACTTTCCACCACCACCCTATTCTTCTCCCATCACTCCAATAATTTTGAGCAAAACGTCAAGGAAAAGATTTGGTGTTTGGGTAGGAATTGGAATTTCCTTGCTAGTCTTCTGCCTTTTTCTGTTGATAGCCTTTCTACGTCATAAGAAGAAAACAAGGGAGGCTGCCAGAAAAGATGAAATGGGGAGAAAAAAATGGGAGTTACCCAAGGATTTCGTAGTTAGCATAGATCAAAGTTTGAAAGTTTACGACTTCGAAGAATTAGAGGTGGCCACTGAAAGTTTCAGCCACAAAAACAAGATGGGTGGTTCTGTTTATCGTGGTGTTCTCAGTGAAGAATTGCAGGCTATAAAACAAATGAGCAAAGATATAGATAAGGAGTTAAGTTTGCTGAAAAGGATTAATCATTTCAATCTAATAAACCTTCGTGGGGCTTGTGAGCACGCTGGTGTTTTCTACCTTGTTTATGAGTTCATGGAAAATGGTTCTTTAAAGGAATGGCTTCAAAAGAAGAGTTGTCAAAAGTTCAAGATTTGGAATTATAGGATTCAGATTGCTTTAGATGTTGCTAATGGTTTTCATTATCTTCACAACTTCACCACTCCAGCGTACGTGCATAAAGATATTTGCAGTGACAACGTGCTACTCGATAGAGATTTGAGGGCAAAGATTGCAAACTTCAGTCTTGCAAGATCAGCAGAAAGAGAAGAAAGCAGAAAATCAATGTGGAGTTCTCTGGGAACAAAGGGTTACATGGCACGAGAATATATTGAGTTTGACTTGGTGACACCTGAGATGGATATATATGCCTTTGGGGTTGTTCTGCTGGAACTGATTACAGGAAAGGCAGCTGTTTTTATGCAGGATAGAAAGGAAGTTCTACTATCAGAAGCAATTTTAACAATCATGAAAGGAGAAAATGCAGAGGTTGAACTTAATCGTTTCTTAGATCCTAGCCTGAAAGGACACCTCTGGATGGAACTTGCACGTCGAATGATGAAATTGAGCGTCGACTGCTTGGCAGAAGAACCAGAAAACAGACTGAGCATGGCTGAAGTAGTTTCACATCTATTGAGGATTCAACTGGATGCACAGCGATCAGAAGAATCCTTTTCTTCATAATGGCTTTAAAACTTAAAAGCAGAAATTAAATATAAGCAGTACTCTCCTTTATTCCAGTATCAGTAATGCACATATGAAATGTAACAATCTTCTGTAAATTGCGTACATAGATTATTTGGACCTGTTTTGAGGTTTAGCTATTGGATTATTGCCTTTTTCATTCAGATAGATAAAACTTAGGCCAAACATCTTCAAAACTGAAAATGAAGCAAAGACTGTACATTAGCTCAACCCGGTTTGGCAAAATAAAATTATATACTGGTTATTAGATGAAATGAAAATATGGATTTTCTGCAACAGTTAACAAGCTATGACTGGACTGATGAATTCAGCAAGTTCTGTTTCTATCCCTGAAGACCAAGAGCCTTCCAATGTCTCAAAAGATGACTGAACAAGAACAGAAAGGCTAAAGACTATTTCTGCCACGCTTGGCCTAGCCAGAGGATTCTCGTGTGCAGCCATGGCTAATACTGCCAAGCTTAGAGCACCATCAATGGGATAAAAGCTCTTCAAGTTTGGATCCATCCATTTTCTTAACCTCTTCTCCTTCTCTTCAATTTCTAAGATTTTCCTTAGATTCTTCCACAACATGAAAATCTCACCATTTTCTTTTGTTGCCATGGCTTTCCTTCCTGACAGCAAATCTAACAGTAACACATCCACTTTTGGGATTATGGTATTTGTTGTGGTTCTAGCCACTGAGAAATTAGCAATCTTGGCCTAAACATGGAGTCAAGAAGTATATTACTTGTTCTGATATCCCTGTGGACGATGTTTGGTTGAGTGTGTTCATGAATGTATATCAGGCCCTTGGCCACATCCAGTGCTACTTGTAACCTCTGGCTCCAGGTGAGAAAGGCCACATGGCTTGAAGAAGATGAACATTTTGGATGCAACCAATTATCCAGTGACCCATTTTCTGCATATTCATAAACCAAGAAGCAATTTCCATCCGAATCAGCTGAGACACCCATTAACTTCACCAGATTTGCATGATTTACTTTCTTTAAAATCTTTAGTTCCTCTGTAACATCATCCTTCGTTTTCTTTACTGCTAACAGTTTCCCATCAATAATGGCACTGTACACTGATCCTCCAATCCTGCAGTGTTCATTGAGGTTCATGGTTGCCCGCATAATCACGTCAGCCTCATACATGATTGGCTAGACTAAGTAGCCAGAAACTCCAGCAAGTAGCTTATCTTGTCTGATCTTTGGCAACTTTTGTAAGTTCCTTCACTGGAAGCAAACCAACTTTCTCCAAAGAGGAACTATTGCGCTTAAAAGTCTTCTTTCTCTCGTGTATTAAAAAAGCTGCTAAAAGGAAAATACACAGAGCCTACTGTGCTTATAACAACAACCAGGATTTCGTGATGTTTGTGTTTGCTTCCTCTCAAAGGAGATAGGTGAGTTTGAGAGAGAACCGCCAATTCTGAGACGGGGATCATCAATGGAGGAATTACTGCCGAGGTAATATTCTGGTAATTATTCAACTTATTTTCATTAATGATATCTACAGCCGATGCATTGAACTTGGCACTTACAATCCAAACATTGTCATTGGGTTGCTATACATAGCTAATAAAATATTCTGTTCCATTCTTCAATTGGGCTTCTGAAGGGCACTTGCAGAATAAAGGAAATACCACTTTGTCACCAATCTGCAAATTTTTTGGATCTAGACAAGGATTCATGTCTTCCATGGCAGTATAATCGGTGAGACTCTCAAAAGTAGTGGTCGAAACTATGTACTAGGTGTCACCAAGCTTGATGTCATAAGTAATATTAGCAAAATAATGCTTCCTGGTGCAACCACAGGTTATAGGTATCAACAATAGTTGGCCTGGCAACATCTGGTATCCTCAGAAGCCAAGTTACTAGTTCTTGCTATCTCTTGAGGGCTGGTTCCGAACAGATTAGAAATGTTTTGCAGGTCCAAAAAGTTTGGTTTCTGGGCAAGATATGCAGCATATGTTAGAGAACGAGGAGAATGACTTCGAGCAGGAAAAGTCTGTGCATTGGTAGGTGCTGATTGAGCATTGATAGAGGTAAAAAAGTAGTTTAAGTAAAAAAAATAAAACTTCCAAGGATTGGTGAGAAAGGAGAGATATTGCCATTGATAACAAGCAATGAACCTAGCTTATTAGTTTAACAGGCCCTGAAGCAGTATATTTCACAACTGTTAGATGAAAAAAGTCTCACTTAAAGTTGATGGAAAAGCTAAAAAATCATTGTTATTTTGTCTACATGTAGCTTTCCATCTGAATCCAATAAGTTTTTTTTTTTTTTTTTGAATAAAAATCTAGGTGGCCCTCGTCTCTAGCTTTGATCTTAAATGATTACTTAGTTTTCTTCTCCTTCCCGATGCAGAAGAAAATTAAAGATGACAAAACATCTATTAATGCCACCATTTTCTGGATTATACTTAAATTTCTGGTAGGAATCTTTTGGTTAGAATCAAATTAGTTTAATGCAATAACACCAAGTCAGGACGGCAAGCAGTTGAAATCCCATATCAAAAGTAACCCGACCTACACGAGCTAACTAAAATGACTACTCCTGTATACATTTATTATTAAACAATAGAATATTCTGATTAGTCCTGCACTGTGCACCATAATTGCATCTCGATTGTAAAAACTGATATAAAGTTCCATATAACAGCAATCTGCGATCTGCTAGCATAAAATCCTACATGTGGGACTTAAGTGGCCCAGGAACTTACAGTTTGGCTTGTTGGAAACGTCCAGTGAATGGGATTTAACCTTCTGTCTTTCTGGATCAATAGATACAGTCTAAAACAGACAAAAGAGTCAAACAGTGCAAATGAACTAGTTTCATTTTATCATGAAAGTGAAGAGGAACAGTTTTGCAGGTTTTATATCTTTGGACTCCCACATCTCACCTCAGTACACGATATAAGTTTTAATTTTTCTTTTCCATTTTTTTCAACATAATTTTGTTCTTTTGCTTTCCCCTCACTATTTCTCTTTGTGGTGATCTCCTTCTTCATTGTTTCTTACATCAAGACAGTTGGCCAGGAAAAGATGTCAAAAAGTTGCTTTCCAGGCTAAGAAATACTGATTCTTAAACTATTTTAACTTCTGTTGTCCAATAATTTTAAAAAAATAACAAGAAAGAAAAATACTACTAATAATATACAGATTTAAACATGTGTAACTGAAAAACGCCAAATATGATAGATTAAAGGGCTACAAAAAATTGCCTTCCCTGAATATTAGCTTCTTCAAAGCCAGATGAATAAAATTAGTTACAGACGAATCATGAATCATACCAGCATTTTCATCAGTGGAATAAAAATATGAATATAGTTTTAAAATTGTAATGCAGCATTCAGAATTCTCCTGTGCTCCTGAAAATATGCAATTCCAGAAAAATTAATCTGGTTCCACTGATTTCACGATGATTACTCCATGAGCTCGAGAAAAATTGTGTTGCCTCTATTTGCCGAGACAGTCTTGTCTATCAAATTTCATTTCAGAATTTGTTTCAACAGATTAAAATTTGCAAATTGCAATCCACATATAACACAAGATAAAAATGCAGTTTCCTGCCAGACTGCCGGAAGGAAAAGAAAAAAAAAAAAAAACAGGGGTTAACACAATAAATTCTAAATGAAAGCAGTTGTGACCATATTGCTAAATACTTCGCTTTGAAGAAGATAAACAAATCTATGCAGAGGCTGTAACACTGTTAGAATAAATACTATAAACTCTGGTGAGATCTTCAGAGCTAACTGTCCATATATGACCACGTAATGCCAGTGGAAGTACTCCATCAGTCTCCTCATAACTCTCTTCTACAGTAACAGCCTCTTTTCGCCTTCCTTCTTGCCAAAGACTCTTCACAAGAAAGTCTTTTGTGGCAGCATCAGGCATTAAATTTGAATTTCTCATGTCTTCAAAAACTCTCCATGCAAGTGCAGCTCTCTCACACCTGCAATAAGCTTGGATTAGTAACTTATACATGTAGGCATCAGGTTCCATACCTCTCTGCCTAACCATCGAAAATAGTTGCTGAACATTTTTGATATCTCCCAGTAGTGCAAAGTGATATATCAACCCAGAAAATGTCTGGATATCTGGGCAAGTACCATTTAACATCATCTCATCAAGTACATCCAGGGCATCGGAGTTCCTCCGACACTTTGTTAATGCCCTCAAGAGAGCAGAATACAAAAGCATTAGATTGAACTTCGATATGTGACCACAGAGTGTTCTATCATCACGGAAGACCTTCAAGGCGGCATCAGCATTCTTTGAAATGCCATAGAATTCAATAAGCAACCTAATGGTGCTGAAAGGTAATCTCATTCCCTCCCTCCTTATTTTATTTATAAGTTTATCAACCAATTCAACATTTCCGTGCCGTGCCAATAGAGTCATCATTCTTTGCACTGTGTAAACGTCATGAGTGAATGCTGGCTGAGAAGCAACCCAACAGAAGAAATTCCAAGCTGTCTCAGCTGAATTGAAATTCCGAAGAACTTTGCAAACCAACCGACTAGTCCACACAAATTTAGCGTCCTCTAATACAGCTACCACTTCAGGACTCCATTGTTTTAAAGCATTTGCCAAAGCCTTTGGATCCAACCATGGTTTCAACCTGACCATATGAACATCAACTCCTTCATTCATATCATCATCCTCATCCTCATCCTCATCACAACTATCCTCACAAGAACCTACACTCTTGATCCTTCCATCAGGCAACATTTCTACAAGAAACTCATCAGTCTCATCAACAAATCCCGCCTCCTTCATTTGTTCCAAATCCACACGCATTGCTCGTCCCGGAAGCTTCCCATCATCCCTCATTTCTTTAAGCAAACTTTTTACCACATCAAACCGTTCCCCACCAACAAAGCCTTCAACCAGAATTGAAAACTGTTTCAAAGTCCTCTTGATTCTCATTGAAGGCAACAGAGTAAACATTTCCATAGCTGCATCCAACTTCCCTAACCTCACAAGATGCTCTATCAAAATCGTATAAGTCCTCGAATTTGGAATCACCCCTTGGTCAATCATACCCCGAAAAGCCTCCACAGCCTCCAAATTCATAACTTTTTGAGCATAAAGCCCCATGACAATGTTATAAGCCTCTGTCGATAGGCGATTTTCCTCACTCCTATACTCTTCCCATGTATTCAAAACTTCTTCAAGGTTCCCAGCAGTCGAATACCAAAACAAAAGGTTCATAAAACTGACTTTAACATTGTTAAATTTTCCAACTTTAATGTCACCAATCAGGGCTTTGAGTTCATCCTTCCTCTTGAACTTTGCAAGAACAGTCGCAAAAGCGAAAATGCTATTCTGGGAATGCTCAAAGTTTGAAACTTGCTTAAGGTTTTCAAACAAAGAAACAGCAGAGTCCGCTGAAGGAGCAGATCGAAGAGCGTTTGCAACAACGAAGGAGTCGAGAAGGCGAGTTTGGAGAAGAGGGTTGAGTGAGATAGGAGAGTTGGAACGGAGAGCGAGTCGTATTGAGTCAATGAGTTTTGCTCTGTGAAGGTAATGAGTGAGTTTGTTGGGAAATGGATCACGTGCAAAGGAGCGAACTTGTTGGTTTAGGAGGCCAAAATGGTTTCTACAAGGCGAGAATCGTTTAAAATACATTGTCACTTTATCGAATAAGAGATTGGGAAATGATTAAAAAGCTAGCTTTGGGTCATGACTTTCGGGTTTTTCGCTATGACAAAAATGCAAACGTTTGGTGTGCATGAGATTCTTGACAAATAATAATGGAAAAGGTTCAAGGGATCGTTGCAGCTCCAGCCAAGGGGTAAAAATGCAGGGTTCCGTTAAAAATGTGGGTTCAATGGCTGGGTCGAGTTTGAATCAATACGGGTTCCTTTAAACTATAGGTCCGAGGCAGCCTCTGTCCTGTGCCACCGCAAGCGGTAATTAGGGGCTCAAAAGAGAGGTTATATCCACACTATTTGTCCAAGTATATTACACACACTGTTAAATTTGCCCACCGTATTAATCAAAGTATATAGCGTTGATTTTTGAAAGGCTGGAGAGTGACAGTTGACTCAAATAAAAGAAAGTATTTTTTTTAACTTAAATTCGAATAAAATGTACTAAAGAAAAAGGAATAAAAGATGAGTACAACATAATATAGATATATATATGCACCTGTGGTATATTCTATTTCTTATGGTTTACAAGTACTTAAGTACAGTATAGTAACTAGTAACATGCTGTGCGAGAAGAAGTTTACAATACTTGCAAATGAACGTTTTCATTTTGCTTATTCACTTCTATCATGTATTAATCTTTATGGCTTTTGATTGTACGAGATTTTAATATGATAGGAATCCGCTTCTCAGATGATATAAAGGTAAAGACCAGTTATTGTTCGGTTTTTTAAATCAGAGAGGAAAGCTTCCGGTCATCCGCATATGATCAAGGGTTCTTTTAAGACCGTACTTGTTCACTGCTCGATTACCTTGCCTAAATCCCTCTCCATAAGCTGTGGATGCATCCGACTCGATCTGGTGCTTGAAGAAACCACCAAGTTTCTTCTCAAAATCAGAGCGCCTGCCTTTCTTTGATGATGTGGAAGAGGATGAAGATGGTGACGATGATGAAGATGAAGATGATGAGGATGAGGATGAAGCAGCATCACTTCCCGCTGCAGCGTAGATCTCAGAGTCAAGCCACATATGTGCTAAAACCTGACATATACCTTCCTCAACTTCTAGACTCAGATTAGGATAGCCTGTCAAAGTTCCCACTCTGTTAATACTCCTTAGTCCCTACCTTACCATCAAAAACAAAAATGAAAACATTGATCAAGGACTGGTGGAACAGATAAAACACCTTTAAGCCTAAGCCAAGCATGCATCATCTCATGGGCTAGGATAGATCCTGTCAGCAACCTGTAGATTTTTTTTTCTTTCGATCATATATATCAAAGGTACAAATAAGACTGGATAGAAATGCTGCAGCGAAAGGAAAACAAAAGATAATACCTAGGAAGACCATACAAAATGAGAATAGCTGTAACTTCACATTGCCGAATTAGCCTGTAAGGCTCAGTTATCATGTCTATGAACCGATAGCCTGCCCCAATCCTTGGCCTTCTTAAGACCTGGTAATTCGGATCAAATAAATGTTGAAATCCAATTAAATATGAGGGCATCTTAATAAAACTGAACTACAGGAATTAAGAAGTAAGAATCTGAAAGGAAATTCATACAGTGGTAACAGTCTGTTCTTCTGACAAACAGAGTCCTCTAGTTTCTGGTAAGTGATGATGCCCCTGCCCACAGATAAGACGTAAACAGGATTACAAAGAAACCAAAGCAGAGGAAATTTCCTCTGATACATAAAAATTTCGACATTTAAGCCTTACATTCTTTTCTCCCTCCATGGCCTCGTTCAGAGCTTGCCTCTCAACCAGAAGTAGAGGAACCTGCTGTTCCACTTTCATATGTAATCCTTCATAAAATTCTTGGATTTCAAGGTAAAGAGGCTGGCATTCATGAGTGTCCATAATTGCAGAATCTAGACACTCTAGACACAGCTTCCGACCATCATCAAGTGATAAATATTTTGCATCGGTTGGCTGCAAGCATTGCAAGGCTTTAAGAAATTAATGATGTGCATGTATTTTTTGTATATAACTACAAAAGGATGTGGCTCCCTTCTCTTTGTTCTGTTTCTAAAAGAAAAAGGGGAGCAGTCTTTCAACTCACCTCCATTCTTTCACAACTACAACAGCGAGGAGTGCCATCACGCTCATGCGAAGGGCAGTACTTTTGCATCCAGTAAGGATGTGCCCTATACTCAATAAGACCAGCTAGATTTGTTGGTATCTGTTAAAATGGAAAAAGAAACAAGGAAATGAGATCAGCCCTACACTGATGGGCAGCGAAAAAAAAAAAAAAAAAACTGGATGTTCAACACATTAATGCTTAAACTAGAAAACACATGGTCTTAAACTTGAAAACACAGAGGTCTCAGAAATATCATGTCTTAAAAATCCAATTATAACACATGAACAGTCACTTAGACATGGAGCAGCTGCCTCCTACAGTAGTCAACAAGTTGTATTAGGAAAACTTGATCAGGAGTTTTCTCAGATTCTGTAGCCTTTGATGGGCTAACAGGTATATTTAAAAATGTCAGTTCAGAATAGTTAGCACATGCAGGTATCAGCCTCCAATTAGGTTAGAGAAACCTGGTTCTTCTGTTTGTCCACCTTTTTGATTTATTAATCACAATATTTGATGAGAAAAACCTAATGAAGACTTCCCTCTACAACTACACATGAACCATGTAGCTATCAATTCAAATTAGATGCACAATTACATATATGGGATAAGGAGATACAGATAAGAAAAACTGCTTATGCAAATTAAATAAGGTTGTAAGACCCTGTGATTGGATTTAGCAACTTACAAATTTCTTGCAAACATCACATTTTGGATGATGCTGCTTCTTATAGCAGGATTTATGAAAAGGGCGATTCCCAGACACTGAAAACTATCACCAGAAAAGAAACTTTAAAATTAGGCCATATACAATATTCACTCGATGCTTGCAAACTCAGTATGATTAAAAAGTAGGAGAATGACTGGAGAACTTTGTTTAATACTTTCAAATTAAAATATCAATAAACTACATGAGATTTAGACCTCATAATCATTAATTGGCTTGTTGCAAGCATGACAGCGAAAACATTCTGGATGCCAAACAGCACCCATGCAACTCAGGTATCGTCCATGACCAATCTCAGCATTACAACCAGCACAGATTCTGCAGCAGCATGATTTTGTGAACCAGGTCAGCTTTCATATGGTACACATGAATAAACTCAAATAATTTCAAGAGGCAATATGTTATGATTATATATGGAAGCATACCTGCAATTTCGTAATATTGCATAAGACATACTAAACTAACAATTTTTTTAATCTTCATTTTGATAACAATAAATAACACCCCACCCCACTCCCCAAGAGAGAGATACAATTTCATTCATACTTTACCCATTTTTTTCCAACTAAATAGTCAGACCATAATTTACCCATTTTATTTCAAAAGAAAACCAGTTAATGAAAGTTCTCCAACAACTGAAACGAGGGTATCAACTGCTAAATACTAATATGTGCTAATAGGTCTGATATCTATGTCTGCATGCAAGCCTAAGCAGGTTTTATGACATTGTCAACAGTGTATGTAATATAGATCAGCTTCCTTCTACACTAGTCATTTTGAAAAGCAATGAGAATTTAATGAAAAAGGGTTCAGCACGAACAAATTACCTGTAGCTAGCTGAAAAGAAGAATGGATAAGGTGAAAATAAACCCCCATGACCATAACGAGGTGGAGACTCCACATTCAAACTTTCTTGAATGGCCTTAGCAAGTTGTTCATCTTCTTCCAATTGAACTTTAGCATGTTCTTCATCTTCCTCCCGTTGAACTTTGGCATATTGGTCATCCTCTTCCTCTACATGAGCTTTAGCATATCTGTCCTCTTCCTCCTCCAAATGAGCTTCGGAGAATTTGTCATCCTCATCCTCTACATGACCTTTAGCATCTAGTTGATCCTCATCTGATTCCTCCTCCGGTTCAGACTCATCTTCTACCAAGTGAATGGGAAACATAAGAGTTGATACAAAAATAAATTTGTAACACATTAAAACCCAGGAACCAAGTTGAAACTACCCCCAAATCCTGACAAAGAAACTTCTCAGAGAACAATTACACTTTTGCTTTTCATTTTTTCATTCTGGCCAGCCCTAGCGAGGATGAAGAGTTCTATTAATTCATTATGGATATGGATATGGGGTGTATCTCACACATTTAGAACCAGTTCAGTAAGATAAACAGGAGCCAATTCTAAAATTTGTCGGCTTGGGCAATTTTCTAACAGCAAAAGAATAAGTTTACTGGTAAAAGATTTCGTTTCAATCAGTTTACATTTGCACTATAAATTATGTTAGGACTAGTTTAGGACCAAATTAAACCTATTGTAAAGTTCCCAAATGGCCACTATGACATTGAAGAAGTAAATGACATTAATCTTCCCAGTTCACCAGCTCAAAATCTTTAAATGGTTTCAACCAGAAATGACTAAGTGCCAGATTAGTTACCAGCATTAAAGGAAATTTGGATACTGCAAAAGACTATTTTTCTGAAAACAATGATTAAAGAGTTGAGGTTGAAGGGGACTGCCATAGTAACTGAGTCACCTATTAACTAGAAAAGCACATTGTTAATTTGCATGATCTGTGCTTCAGGCATGCAACCATACCTATCACTTCCTTCCCCTTCTGGTCTACTTCTGAAAGGGACAGTGCAATAGCACGATCAATATCATCTTTGTCAAAACCATCCGAGCCTTCCTGCATACAAGTTTTCCAACAAAGACTCACAGAGTTAACGTTGGAAAAACCTCATAGGAATGAATGAACCAGGATCACGCAGACAGAGGTTTTCGAAGATGACATTACATGCATGGACAAAGTTGTAACAATTTTACCATCAGAATCAATGACATCTGAACACAAGCAACCAGCAAAACTTATAAAGAGTAGAGCATTACCGCTGAACGGCGAGGCTCATCCCAAGTTCTATCATCTCCATATCTCCCATGATATCGCCCTTTATTACCTGAACCTTTAAGAATCTTGGTCAGCCAACCCATTATGTGAAATGCAATTTGCTAACCAACCAGCAGTCTTTTGCCTGCAACCAAGTCATCCATTTAGGAAGGCAGAAACAAATTCAAAACGAGAAAGGGAAGTGCAGTTATAACTAAAGATGGAAAAACCATAATTAGATAACAAATACTGTTTATACTGTCATAGGTATGATCCTGTGGAATATGGAAAACATTCCCACTTTGGGACTCATTATGTCAACTTACAGTCAAGGCTATTGACTTGATTCCTTTTTCAAAAACTATCTTTAACAAAAATAATTCAAATAAAGAAAGAAAAAATAATAAAAGGGAAACCATTCAGACGGCAATACCAGCTCTGGCCAAAAGCATGAACCTAAACAGAAACCATAATTAAAGTTTCCAAGTAATTCATAGCATACCAAAAGCATTGAAGAAATTTTCTGAATTACTGCCTGGGTTTCCCAAATCCAATCCAATCAAACAAATTCTCCCTTATTTATCAGAAATCAATTCCCCAGAATTCATTCACGTGTGGCACTCAGTGGCCTTAAATTACCACATCTCATATTCACACATCAACATGAAAACACTCAAAACTACCGGAACCAATATTATTCAGGGAAAACAAATCCAGGTATATAATAACTGAAAATCAAAATGATATGAAACAGTTGCCGCTGAAGAGAACATAGAAAAGTTAAAAGTATCAAAGAATAACTAGAAAAAAGAGAGAAGAATATGCAGAAACAACAGAATCTGATGAATCCCAGATCAGAAACAGCAACAAATTCACATGAATGCATAGTCACCAAATTACAGTACACAGAAGGATATTCCAAGTTAGACCTTTAATTGCCATCAACATAACAAGAAAATACTGACCCTTTTTTTCTTATTGTGACAAGGAAAAAAAGTTAGATAACCAATTCTCAGTGAAAGATAAGGTGAGGAAAAGAGGTTGAAATAAAAAAGAGAGCTTGAATCCTAAGCAAAAACCAGGTCCTTAATAAGAAAAAAAGGTTGATAAAAAATTTGGAAACAGTGAAAGCTGGTTTGGAAAATTGACAATAATGTCATGTGGTTTATGATGTTTACCTTGCTTAAAAACCACCAAAAAGATTAGTTTTTTTTTTTTCATTCTTTTTGAAGATTAGAGGAATCAAAATCCAAATGGATTTTTTGAATTGTTATAATTTATTGCTTTAACATGTGGGTCCTTTATGGTGTGCCCATTGCCTGGCACACTCCACTACACGTCAAAGACACTTCAGCTCTTCTCGTTGAAAATATGACAAGGAAGAGACAGTAGAGAAGAGGGGTAGGCTTTCATTTCATTTCTTGATCTTCCACTGCAGTTGTGTGTTCTTGGACTTGCAGTAAAGTCTGAACTTTGGTTTATTTGTTGTCCTTAGTTTGGCACACCTAAGGTTGGCATCGGGTCGGGTTCGGAGCGGGTTTTGTTCGTCCCGAACCCGATTTGACTTTATCATCAATAAACTCGAATTCGATTCGAAATTTTTTTTATTTTTTCATATCCGATTTCGATCCGAACCCGATATTATATAATCCGTATCCGATTCGATCCGACCTGAAATTAATAAAAATATTATTTTTTAAATATAAATATTTAAAAATATCATTATATAAATATATATATAAATAAATAATTAAAAAATTAATTAAAAAATAATTTTTTAAATAATATCAAGTCGGGTAAAGTTGGGTATGCTTAAAATCTGATCTTGATTATTTTCTAACATTACCCGATCCGACTCGATCCGAAACTCAAAATTAAAAAAAAAAACTCGATCTCATAAGATCGGATCGGATCAAAACCTACTGGAATCGGGTTGAATTTCCAGGCACACCTCCGTAGTTACCCCACTTTTTGGCCATTGCCCAATAAATGGCATAACGCCAAGTGGCGAAACAAAATCAACTGTCACCCCTCAAAAAAAAACCAAAAATCATTTTTTTGGTAATTTTAAATCTAACTCTTCACCTAGAAAATGAAAATTTACAAGGAATAGGTGAAAAACGAAAAGACACCCTTTTCGCTTCTTCATCCACTGCTTTTTCTTTCCAAAGAAAGCTTAGAAAAGGCTAAATGGTAGTGTATTAAAAAAAGTAATAAAGTTTGAAATGATTCATTATCCATAATAGTTTTATGATAATCAATCATCTGTACACATTAATCTTTCCAAAAAAATTGTTTCCAATGAGTATGCATGCGCATATGCTCCTATTGTTTACTCTACTAATTCATGTATCCAAAGACCACAGCTCTCTTTTGCATGTGCCATGAATCTAAAGACAGCTAAATTTCATCATTCCAAGTGCTTATTCAGATTGTGCTCAATAAATAGAAAAAAAAAAAAAAAAAGGCTAATTCGAATTAGTCATTTCATGCAAAACTTGTAGTATTAGGTGCATGATATAGTTTTCCTGCTTGGTTATTTGCACACGGATGTGTAGCTTTCAAGTTGCTTTATTTTATTGAGTGCAGGTAATTAGGTGCTAATCGAAGATGTGTGTATGTTAACAACTTCAATAATAAAACCTTGTTCAATTCCCAAATGGTATCTTCGAGTCAAATTATTATTCATTTGGGTGGAAGGAATGAAAAAAAAAGAAAGACGGAAAACAGAGCCAGTCCTTGTTCATGAAAACAATGACTTAAAATGCTTATTTAAATTGTTGCTAATTATAATAAAGAAAATTAGTCAATTATACTCATGAAGTGATACTCAAAATTTCAAAGTGTTGTCCAAAAGGATATAATTTCGACTTCTACAAATCGACATTTGTTGTTGTATTCATTTTTCAATTGACTTGTAGCACAGAGATTTTGTTCAAATATATTATTTAACATCCTTGAGAAGGAGTCATTTTAGGTGCCCTTTGACTGATCAATAGTATCTTATATATTGACTTGATGATTGGGTATTTACACTTCTTAAACATCTTTTTATTTTCAATGGGTGAAAATTAAACCATGAAAAATATCTCATTTTCTTCTCATAACCCTCTCATTGTTAACGATGGCAAGATTATCTTTTTAAAAATTTTAATACAACAATTAGACATCTCAATTGACTATACATAAAAAGAATATGCTTATACCGATATAAAATTAAAAAGTTTTATTTTTTTTAACCGTTACATCAAAATTAGATCTACAACTAAGATAGAAAAAAAAAGTTTCTTCATCTTTTTAATGGTTTGTCAAGATTGTGCAACTGAAATGATATAGATTCTAATAGTCAGTGTCGTTGGAGCTATATTGGCACGTGATTGGTTTCTTGATTGATATTATGTGCCCATCGACGACTTCAGTGAAAGCAAATTGGAAATTATGGCAGGCCCACAATTATGCCGGGAGGGGGGGGGGGGTTGGGAATCTTGCTTTTATAAGTTGTTCTCATGTAGAAAAGAAATCGAATTTGGCGACTGCTTCCATCACAAAAATAATGGAAACACCTTTTTGGCCTTTGGTGCAGCCAAGGATCGATGTACATCTATTTTAAATATACTATGACAAATATTTACCTTGACATAATACACATAAGAATCAAATTAACTAAATAAATATGAGAATTAATGAATGAAAATTTTGGTGGATAAAAAAATTAATTATTATATATTCAATAATTGGTATCGAGCTCCAAACTTAAGGTAAAAACCTTGAAATCATGAGAAAGAGAAGAGAGCAGTTAAGGCAAAGGTAGGGAGTATTATCTGTGTTTGCACTCTAACACTAAGTCAAAAGTTGAGACTAGAAAGGTTAGAGAGAGGAAAATAAAAATATAAGGAAAAGTGAGATTGGATTGATAGTATCTGAATAGCTTTATTTATAAGCAAATGTGAAGGGTTTGTGGGATATAATAGTGACATAGCCGAGGTAACGTGGCACTGTACATGTCAAGTAGGCTTACAATTTTAGGTTGGTCCAAAAGTAAAAAATGCCTCTGGCTGTCTGTTAATAGTCTTGATGAGAAAATTGATCAATTTACCTTTTGGACCCAAAAATACTCCTAACATTTTATCTTCCCACCAAGCAGTATGAGAATCAAAATAATGGGTGCCTAATCAAACCCTTATGGTGCAGATATTCACTAGTTTGACCTCAAGCTTGTGAGCGTGGTTTTTTGAAAAGTTATGCCTAGGACCCTACCTCACATTATCAAGGTTAAATGTCATCGAGGCTGATATTAGAGTTGGGTAAGAGAGGTTTGTGACTGATTGTATGCTATTGAGTGTAATCTTGGTTATTTTAAAATGTGCCAACCTAACGTGTGAACGTAGGTGCGGAGTTTGATCTTAAGCATGGGTTTTGGGTTATATGCATAGTAGGTTCATTCTGGGGTTGCTGGGGTGAGTGAGTTTATGTCAAAGAGGCCCAAGGTTAAGCTAAGCAAGCTTATAAGTAACTATTGACATGATTCACATGTTCGATGTAAGACTTATGTTTTTTTTTTTAAGTTTGATCCTCAAGCCTAATTCATGGTTGAACTGGTAATTAGTCTATTCGAAAAGTTTGCCCTAGGTTTTGCAACTGGTCTACCTGGTTTGAATAGGTGAGATGACCAATTTGGCCTTCAGTTATTTGAAAATCTCATTTAATTAGGAAAGAGGTATTTGGGCGGTAAAAATCCAAAGCTAGAAATGTGAAAGGTCATTATCGGTAACAATCTGACAAGTGGTGTAATTTAGGCTATTCATCTTATATGAACATTAGCTATATAAAAGACCTCTTAGGGCTTTCATTTTTCACCTTGTTGCATTTTTGCTCTTAAACCGACTTGTTTTAACCGACCTAAAAATTTTCACCTTCTTTCATTCATCTTTTTTTCTTTCATTTTACTTCGATATGTTTTCTTTTCTTTCTTTTATAATATCTTTTAATGCAAGCTTTGGGGGTTTAGAGAGTTACAAGGTAGTTTCCAAATGAGGTTGGCTCAACAGTGGGGTCGAGAATGACAAGGTCCTTTCAATCATTGCAGGAAAAAACTATTTAAAGGGGCTGCATTCTAGCTCAATCCCATGATTGAAAAAGGGTAGAAAAGAATAGAAGACGATGTCTGCTCTAGAGGAGAGCAAGTCTATTAGAGCATAGGTGAGTTGTAGATGCCATTGACTTTTAGCTTGAAAACCTTATCTTTCTTATATCTCAAGTCAATCCAACTTCTTCATCTAATTTTTCTTTTTTTGTTGTTCTTCTTTTTGAGGTTCAACTTTCTCAACTTTTTATTTTTTTGTTGCTTTATCTGCTTCTTACTTATTTACTCCTTCTAAGTTAACTCTAGTCGATGTCATTCACTACTCTTCTTTACTTGAAGAGTCTCATTGTCTCTATTCTTCCTCTAACATCGTGGTGCTCTCTGACACTATTTTAACTTAAAATTTTACTCTTGCTTGAGCCTTGTGATAATAAAGGCTCTGATGATGAAAAGGGTTTCAATGGAAAGTAGGAGTGAGAAACCAACCAGGTTAAAAAGGAAGGTAAGGATGGGAAGAAGTTCTCAAATTCAAAGGACATGGCTTGTGTCCTTATCTTCATTCCTTACTCCTTACGTCTAAACTTTAAGGATGTGATAAAGAGCTTAAAAGGTAAGGCTAATCTTTAAACTGCCCTAATATGTGCTTTACTTACTACGTTCGATCTTTAGAGGTCAACTTTAGCCTTTTAAATAAGGGTTACAATGTATTGATGCCAACTATTGAGCATCGGATCACTTTTTCCTTGAAAAGTTACCTATTTTGGGTGTATTAGGATTCCATAGTGCCCGGTCTGAGGCTCTATTTACATATTTTTATTTTTAAACTTTTTTTCTTATAATTTAACGATCATTTAGTTCACCCTAAATTCTTTCCTATATTTTTTCTACTCTTCCTTTATTCAGGGAGTTCTTTTTAGTAAAAAAACATTGACACGATAAGAGGTGGTTCTATATAACAGTTCATCTCTCCAATAAGATATTCACAAATTGCCCGCATCATAACGTATAAGTCTAAAAACTTAACCGCTAAACTTAATTTTAGGAGTCGCTATTAATTTTTTTTGTTTAGATGTGATTGGTCACCT